GCCCTGCCGGCTTTGACAGCCAAACAGCTGCTGACAGTGTTCATGTATTCTGACATTGGCAGAAGCTCATTCTTAGAATACAATAGCCGCAGTAGAAGATTCGTCCAGCCATACTGTCTAGCAGTTTTTTCCCATTGAGCCTGCGGGCTATTGTATGGCCAGTTTAGGATAAAACCAACTCTCTTCTGCTAAAGTTGTCAGTTCTTAGGGTTTGAGTTATACACAGGTTCACTCAACTTGGAAGTTCCCATGCTCGCCCAACATTGTTTTTCACCAAAACTACATGAAAAAGAAAATCAAGCTGTTAAAATACTTAGATTTATTTTATTATAAATAGTAATGACGTATAAAAATAAATATGTACGTTAACAATTTTAAATGAGTTATCTTACAATACAGTAAAAATTAACATGCATCCAATATTGAATAAAAAACAAACACTTTGTACAGCAGTATTTTACATGGAGGCAAAATGTTGAAATAAAAAGAAAAAAAAAAGAAGGTTGTAATGGTTTTGACATTTAATAATTGCCGTGAAGTACATAATTTCAGCATCTTCTTTTTACCAGAAACCTTTTGTTAAGAATATAACATGTTCACAGGATAACAATAGCTGGACCAAGATTTTGATCCCAAATGTGAAGGATAAAAAAAAAAGAAAAAAAAAAAAAAGATGTACTTCAGTATTCAAGAAAATAGTACAAGTATTCATGTGTTTTGTGTACCATGTTAATTACATTCTTCCTTTGTTTTCTTCCATTACATTCATTCAAACTGACACCAGCTTGGAACGTGAAAGGCCAAAATGTTGACTTTAAATTTTAACAATAGCAGCCAAAAGAATGAGATCTTACACTTTAGACATCACATGTTGCTCTGACAATTATTTCAGCAATTCAATTCAAGTACTATTCCAAAAAACATTTGTGTACGTTAGTCTTCTTCACTTGAAAAAATATAAAAAGGGTTATGTTAGCTTTAAATACAGTATACATTCAACGGAAGTATCACTCCCCCTTTCAGACAAGTGTCAGAGCATTAAAACAATCAATTCTGTAAATCATTCCATCTAATGCTCCTGTTATGCCCATAAAGTACAGGAGATACTTTGCCTATTGAGATCAGGGAACTGTAGAGCAGGGGCAAGCCATGTATCAACAGGTCCTACATGCCAAAACTACATCTGCCAAAGAGTATAGTGAAAACTTCAAGAACCTATGATGTCATAAAGAACAAGGTGGTAAAAAACACTATTTCATTGATGTTGTCATTGTTGTCGCTCACAATATGACATTTCAGGAGAACTGATCACTTGTGTGATTACCTAGAGGAGGTGCACTAAATGCATAACTTTCTCTACCTCACATAAGTTAAAAAGGGGGGGGGGGGGGAACACAACCCCAAACAGTTATTACACAGACTCATATATGGATAGTGCAAGTTTAAAATCCAAAAGATGGTGAAATAGGATTTTGGTATTCCCTGTAAAATCTTTTACTTTGAGTGCATTGAGGGACAATAGAAATTTTAGACTATCTGGTTATACTGTTGCCTACAGGAGAAATGGAATGACTAAATTCTGGCTTCCTAAACCATCAGGCCAGGGACAACCTGATCCTCAGTGCCAAACAAATCAAATCATTCTGTCCTGACTGATGTGCCTCATGATGAGAGAACATAGCAAAGGAGAGGCCTGGAGTGAAACTAGAGCTGCTGAAGGAGACTACTATCAAGCCCAGGTCATTCATGAGAAGTGAAAAAATATGTGCCTCATGGACTGGAATGCTTGAATCTGAGACTGGATAGTCTGAAGTGTCTCCTGTGGAAGATACCCTCTGACTGAGCTTTGTCCAGGACTAGACTCAGATACTCCAAACAAGGAGTCGTTTCCAGCAATTAATTTTATAGTTCAGAATTAAACCAAACCACTGCAACTTCTAAACAGTCAGGACCATGTTATCCAACAGACACCCACACTGACTGTTCCCTCAAAAGGAGGTTGCCTAGGAATCCCACAATGGTCCAGGTGCAGACAAGAGCCCAAAAGTCAGGACTAGTAGTAAAAGTACACCACAGTAAAAGTAGGAAATAGAGGTGTGCTGCAGATATGGTGGCATGCAGGCACGCAAGTCCACAGAATTCAGTCTCCCTGTTGATGAGAGGCAAAGGCAGATATAGTGGACTCCATGCTGAATTTCTAGATTCAAATTGAAAGACATTCAGAAATAAGAGATCCAAGATGGGGTGAATGCCCCCTTTGCATATGGTGACCATGAACAAATTGGAAACCCCTGAATGCATTCCACCACAGGAACTGGGACAATTACATCATGGTCCAGAAGACCCAAGAGGGCTCGATGGACTTCTGCCAATCTGTGGGATAACAAAGAAAGTTTAGAGGTGAGAAAGGAGGTGGCAGGGAGCGAAACTCGTTTGTAGCCATGGACACCACCTCCTGCATCCAAGCCTCAGATGCTAGTTGTCCAAGTATCCCCCACTCTAGCAGTGGGAACTCACCTGCATGCCAACAAATGCTTGTCTTCAGTATTGGCAGACTTTCCTGCTAGATCTAGGGAGTGGAAACTGGCTTGGAGGGTCTTGTCAAAGAAGTAAAGAAATAAAAGGCCTAGTGCAGTGGTGGCAAACCTTGGCACTCCAGCTGTACCAAAACTACAAATCCCAAGATGCATCTGCCTCTGGGAGTTATGTCTGTGGCTGTCAGAGCCTTGCAATGCCTCATGGGACTTGTAGTTCCCAAACAGCTGGAGTGCCAAGGTTCGCCATCACTGGCCTAGTGTAATGTCCAAGATGAATATCATCTAGAAACGATCCAAAGAAACTTTGTCCCTTGACGAACATGCAGAACATGCTTCTGATACAAGGGATCGACAGTCCAGCACCATAATCAGGGTGCCCATGCATGAGTACTGACAGGAGAGCCACACGATTGCAAACTGGGAAGCTTTTTACAGACCAGTACAACTGAAGATAAAACTTACAGCAATTTGTTCACGCATACTTCATGGTACAACAAGGTACAATCACAAGCAGGAGCCATCAAAGCTACTAATGTAAAGGGTAAATCAGACAGCCACATAAGGAAAAAACTAATTCTTAGATGTGGGCTGGGTTTAACAGTAACACACCAAAATCAGCCTGAACGATACTTCTTTCAGAGAAGGGCATAGAGTCCACATCTAATAATGGATCCTAAACTTGACCAGAAAAGTCCAGTGTGTCAGTTGGATTTATTGGAGGATGGGTCAGCAGACCATAAGGAATCCCCTTTACACACGAGCCAAATTAGACTAAGTCTTGCATTGTGCTTGCAGAGCTACCCCAATTGTGACTGGCAAAGATGAAGTTAAGGCCAAACAAAACAAGCTAAAAGGTTAAAATCCAAGCTTAGCCGCACTACCCAGATATACTACAAAACCAAAAGGCAATGAGGAGGCCTGTAACAGGGATTTGCCCAATACTGTACCCACTATAGAACACATAGGAGGCTGGAAGGAAATCCACTAGTTGCTCAGTGTGACGGGGTGAACACTTAACGTCTGTCTCAGGGCATGTGGAGTTACAGGGGAACAAATGCACATAAGCCACAACAGCATTTGTACATTAACCAGGAGAGATTTTAAATTTAAACTCCCCCCAAAAAATAAATGACCTAAGAGATGGCAGATACATTTCTACAGCAGCTTAACAGCATCCAGAGGAGACTCTAGGTTTTAAATGCAGTTTCCAGCAGGGGAAGCTTAGCAAACCCTCCTATAGGCATGGATGGAAAAGGAGCTGCCTCTCATACGGTTACTAAAACGTTAGATGGCAGTACCAATCTATATTACTGCTTACAATGCCAGAAAACTCCATCAGCCCATACACACATTGTAAATGTGTCACAACCCAGCTTCTGCATAAATAACATAGCATAGTGTTTATGACAAGCATAAATTAAGTGTATTCTATGCAAGACCGGAATCTTTGCGATATGTTCCTTAAGGAAGGAAAGATCAAAGCACGCACTTTGCTGCCATCAGCATCCGGAAGCTGTACAACGTTGTGCTTTTTTGAAGAAAAAAAAAAAAACTAACATTATGAGCCAGGGAGGAGAAGAAGGAAAAAAAACCCAGTACATTTCCCTATCAAGGCTGAGCAGAAATAAAAAGGGCTACCCCACACGGCCAACTTGCAAAGTACATAAAGTATGTGCAAGCACAGTTCACAGTAGCAACAATGAGGCCCTGTAATGTACAACCCCTTGTAAGTGGAGGAACCAGAAACACATGTGACACCAATATAAAAGTACAAATTATTTATCTGCCAGGAATTTACTAGTGCATGTTGGCTGACTTAATAAACTTCCCTGATTTCATATACCTGGCATGAAGTTACCTGCAGCTGTTAGCAGAAAAATCTTCACAGTGATCAGAGAACTGCAGAGCTGAAGAAAACAAGACCGCTCATGAGGACACTAGCAAAAATTGAGGCATGATTGTTGTGGTCAAGGTTATCCTTTGCTGGCCCAACAACACTTTTTTGTTATCAGTGTCCATTTCTCCTGTAGGTTGCAGTATACCGGGACAGCCTAACAATTCCTGTGCATCTCAATGGACAATAAAGAAAACATTCTTGTTGTAAAACGTATGTTCATTAAAAGAGACTATAAAGATGGTAGTCACAAATATAAAGCCAAAGCATGATGATGCTGTGGACGGAATTAGACGTTTTCCATATTCCAGGCTTTGAATGACCACATTTGTAGCACCACATATAAGCCCGATGAAGCTCTTTATTTACCAATACTTCAGTAAGCTCTTCAGAATATTCTGCTGCCAGACAGAATTAGGTTTAGGTATATTTTTGAATATGCAAACAGAGATGAGGTATTTATAAAGATATTTGGTTTGGGGGTGCACTGAAAACATAGCAATATGGTTTAATCATAGAAACAAAAAGAACAAGAGATTGCCATTAGGCAATACTGATTCTTTCTATTGTACAATTCACATGGTGTAAACAGCGATGGTGCTGGTTCTTCTGTGGTATTATCTTCACAGCTGTCATTCCTTGAAGCTTACACTTCTGCAAAGAAACAAACAGGGTTGTTCCATTTAGCTTTTGTTAACTTTGGCATTCAATTTTACATTTTAAGTGGTCAAGCATTAGAGGACCCATTTTTTTCTAAAAGGATTAAACTGTTTGTACATGACATTTTTGGCAACCTTAAAGCTGACCATACGCATAGAGAATTTCTAAATATGCATGTTACAATTTAATTGTAAAATCTCTGTTAAAACTACCAACTATATGGTCCAAGGGGGTAATAAAAAAAAAAAGTGTAATACATTTGTATCCAACTGGGTGAAAATCTAAAGACGACCCTAGTAAATGACTGCAGTGCTAAAGGGATTATCCTATTAATGAAAACAAGTGGTCAGGAACCGTCTGCAACACATGACAACCAGAAAGGCCAAAGCCAGAATGTGAACCAGATGAAGTGAAGTCCCCTGCAAGACAGGGAAGTCTGCAAAATGACCAAAAGAAGGCCACAGAGGATCAACCTGGTGCTCGAAAGACCAGGGCCGAAGAGATCACCACCAAGAAGAATGACTCCACCTGAAGGAACACTGAGCCTGCACTAGCACAGTGATCCAGTGAAGTATGCACAGCCATGAAGCAGGACATTTTGCCAAACAGCTAAGAACATTTACCTGATAAAGGACAGGACTGAGGAATGGATCTGAGGAAACTGCCTTCATAGGCTGTGGATTAGCCATGTAAGGAGGACCAACCTCCAGGAGTTCAAGTCCCACAAAAGCCCATGGACATACACTATCCCAACAGCAAGATTCCAGCGTCTGTTGTCGGCTAACAATCCAGGGGAACATGGGGACCTTCAGCGATAGTTTCTTCACGCCATACATGCAGGAGAGGACGTGCACCCAGGAATGTAAAACCCTCTCCCTGGAGTGGAGATTAACAATTGATAAGAACCAGATGTAAGACCCTACAGTGGAGATGTGCGCCCTTTGCATCATCAAGCTTAAAGACCAGGTTACTCGCCCTGTCACAGTGAGAATTACCAAACCTTCACAGGGGTGTAGGTCTTACAACAACTAAGTGATTTACAATGAAATCCAGGACAAGAACCAGGCGACACGCAGTGCAGTCCTATAGAGACGAGGATCAACTGTTCTGGGGGACAAGACTTAAGCACCCCTGCAATTAGCATCCTCCCAGGTGGGGGGGAAGAGAGCACCATATTTCACCCTAAGAGACTGAGGGGTCATTCCGGGGCAGGGGTGTGGAATTCCTATCGCTCGACGCCCGGGACATGCAGTTTCGGGCGCTGGGTTCCCGGCTTCCTGATTGCCCGGGAAGCCTGCTCCATGCAAAAGGAAGAACCGATACTCGGTAAGTACCGAAAGCAAAATACCGGTACACGTACTCTATACCCAAAAACCGGTATTGGTGCATCCCTAGTTTTAATACAAACTATTTTTTTTTTTTTATTGGGACAAGTAGATTGTTATGAAGGACAAGTAGATTTGGCCCCCGCTTTAGCCCTTGGACAAGTAGTTTTTTCAAAAATTTCCACACCCCTGCAGGGACTTCCATGCCAGGAACAGTTTGGATATCTAGACTCAAATCAAGTAGACCATATACCTGAAAACCGGAAGGCAACAAGAAGGGAAGCCTGTGTTAGAGGGGGAATCCCTCAATATCCTACAAAGAGGGAAGGAGGGGGAATTTTCCTGACTGTTAAGGCAAGCTCCACTGATACAAGTTGAGATGTGCGCCCTTTGCATCATCAAGCTTAAAGACCAGGTTACTCGCCCTGTCACAGTGAGAATTACCAAACCTTCACAGGGGTGTAGGTCTTACAACAACTAAGTGATTTACAATGAAATCCAGGACAAGAACCAGGCGACACGCAGTGCAGTCCTATAGAGACGAGGATCAACTGTTCTGGGGGACTTTTCGGGAAGCCTGCTCCTTAATCAATATTGTTTTAGAAAAACGGTCACATGACAATAAACAAAAATTTATCAGTACTTGGCCAGAAAGCCGGCTCGATGCTGATTGGCTGGGTAATTCTGCTAAAATAAACCTAAACTTTACCTTCACAAAATACAACTATTAAGCAATATACATTGGAGTCCTTTTTCGTTTTATAAGGTACTATATCTGTTTTGGTATAAGGTGTGAACCAAAAGTATGAATAACCAATTACTATTGCCGCTCTTCACATCTCTGATTTTGTGCGCATATCACTACACTTGATCTGCCACCAGATTTAACATAGCCCACATTCGGGAGCAATTTCAGGCAACTAGTGAAATTAATCAGGGAGCTACTAATGTTAGTCATTACAAAACTGTGAAACTGTGCTTAGATTAGAAACTTAATTTCAGGAATTTTAATGAGTTCTGTGTTTGACATAATCCAGAAAGCACCTCCCCTCGCTAGGAGGCATGTGTTGCGTTACTTTCTCTTTTGCTGACACCATTCAAATTTCCAAGGCTGGTTTAAAATCTGATTGATGGCTGAGAGAAACATCCCAATACTGACACTTTGTCACAGTAGTCTTTACTAATACGGACACTTTGTCACAGTATTCTTTCCGTATGGGAGAAGCAGCAAGGAGCCATCAGTACGTGTAGCTCTCCTACATCACAGAGTGGTAGGTGAAAAGGGATTCTCAATTTACCAAGAAAGATCAATGATGAAAATGAACCTGTAAAAAACGTAGTCTGTACGGTCTCTCAAGGCCTAATTTTCAGTCTGAATCGTACTTTGCAATAAAAAAAAGGTATGCCAATATGACCGCTTGCTTACTTTTCTGCTGTTTTATCAGAGGCTCGATCTACAGGTCTTAAGATGGAGCGTTCTGGAGATAGAGAAGGCGATTTCATTGTGGATGTTAGTGGTGAAGATGTACGCAATGATGTAGAAAGCCCATGTCTGCGCAACTCCTGTACTGCTCGTTCTCTGTAGTAGAAAGAAAGCATTTGAAGCAGGTGTTTACACACTTTTTTTTTTTTAAGCAACACATAAGGCCCCATTCACACTGAGCGATTCGCAAATCGCGCGTTTGTCGCGCATTTTGCATTGAAAAGACTAGAATCGCGCCAAAATCCGCTCCAAAAAGGGTCCTGCTGTAGCGACGCACGACCTGCGACAGACAGAGCCCCATTGAGATGTATCGGAGAGCGATATCGCGCTGTAAATATCCGCTATATAGCGAGGATTACCGCGCGATAAATCGCTCAGTGTGAACGGGGCCTAAGACTGCTCCACTCCCTTCATATGCCAGGATATACCCTATATAACCATTATGGCAGGCCTACCTTTCAAACTTCTCTGTGGTGAGTTGTCTTCTTGCAACATCATAGTCAGACTGCAGCTGTGTAAGTTTATTTCTGAGCATAGCCACTTCTCGAGACTGGGAGTTACTATAAACCCAAAAAAGATCATGCAAAAATGTTAAGCTTTAATTAAAACTCAAAATGCAGAGTTTAGTCTTAGTACCTTTACAAGAGTTAGCTGAATTCTGGTAATTCGTTAGTAAATATTAATTTATCAAGTGCTTTAAAAGAGGAATGGAAATAACTGAGTAAAAGAAAAAAAAAAAAAGGACGACTCTCTACCCACCGGCTGTAATTTAACTTTAAAAAAAAATGTAGGCCACACAGAATGCAAGTGTGAATTCATTCAATTTCAAATTAAAGACCCAACAAGCAATATGATCTGCAAGTGTTAGGTTGGCATAAATGTACTGTGTGGGGTTAAAGAGGTTGTAAATGATTTGAAAGGAAAAATACATATGGAAGAGCAGGCACATAAAATGTAAGATTAGTGTCAAAAAGTATTTCAGTGTATTCAATTTAGATCAGTGCAGTTACTCTGTCTCTTAACAATTTGCGGAATTCACAAGACCAGCCACATAAGGAATTCAATATTTAGATATGCTTACATCTCCTTTCTGTAATGCAAGACTAACAGTTATTTAGCACTGCAAACCAAGAAAGAAAAAAAAAGGCTGAGCAAATAAGGCTCCTAACATGGCAATATATGAAAACATTTTAAAGAAAGTCACTTTTAAACACATGAATGCATATTGCTAAGATTATTTACCTCCAACTATTTTCTATTTTTCTAAAGAAATAATAAAAAAATAAAAAAAAGCTCTTCATTCCTATTAAGTGCAGGAAATGACCTACTTACAGTTTACTCTCAGAAAGGGTAAGTTTGTCTTTCAGCAGTTGAATCTCAGAGTCCTTCTCATGGGTGGTAAGATGACTCTGAAACTCTCTCTCTCGATTAGTGGCCAGCAAGGTCTCCAAGTTCTTAATAGTGAGCCTCTCACTGGACAGTTGCTTCTTCAGAAGTTCGGTTTCTGATTTCATATCCTCCAATTCATCCATGACCTAGAGAGGAACAAATAACAATGATGGCTGTGTAATAAAGAAAACACAAATACATGATTTTGGAATCGCACATCAATAAAGGGTGCAAACAATGAGCCCTATGGAAGAGTTATGTATATATTCCTCCGCTGAGGATGTATTCATTTAGAGGTTAAATAACCTGTATGAATTTGTGCATTAGTAGATCACATAAAAGGGAGAAGGATGCTGGTCAAGTGTTTTATACAGAATCCAACTAAACCCATCGATAGCATAATATTTTGCTGGCAGTGAAAAGATTTCTTTCTATATTACAGAAGAGTTGCAGACATTCAGCAGACTGACAATAATGAGTATGAGGAAACTTACTCTTTCATATTCCATGTTTCTAGCAGTAAGCTGCCTGGAGAATTGCTCTTTGCTAGAGTCCAGCTTTACGCACAGCTCTCTGACTGATGCCAAATCAGACAGAATCAAAGCCTTTTCATCCAGTTCATGTCGGAGTTGCTCTTCTAATTTGGATATTGTTTTAGTCATGGATGACATCTGAGCTTCATAGGCCTGATGAGCATTCATGTGCTGGAACAGAGGAAAGATAATCCATTTATTTTCTTTTAGTACTACCAATTTAAAAACCAGAAGAAAAATAGATTTCCAAGTTCCAGGATAGGCGTTTTACCTCTCGGACTTCGTTCTCCAAGTCTTCCAATCTCTCTCGCAGATGTCTTCTATCTGTATCAATAGACAGCAACTCCATTTTTACAGAGCTACTCTCGCCGGCGGCATTTTGTGCCTTAACTTCCCATTCTTCAGCTTGGCTGTGCATCATTCTAAACTGATCTAGAAGCTCTCGATTCTCTTGTTCCTGAAAAAAACAAAAGCAAAACTACATGAAAAAGAAAAAAAAAAACTCAGAACGCAATTTTAAAATGAGGTTCTCTGTAACCAGTCCATGTTTCAAATCATTTTACAGAGATATACATATAAGATTATTAAAAGCTATAATGTTGTTAATGCTATTGCAAGCCTCAAATGAATTTAAATCAGAGAACAGCAAATAATACCAGGAATTGCTGCATTTGTGTTAAAGTTAAAGCCCAAGCAGTTTACCTTAATATAAGGTTTACATAAGCTAATGCAAGCAGAGCTCTGCAAGCAACACCATATGCCTCTAAGAAAGCCTGCTTACTTCAAAGACAAGACTAACTCCTCTGGGAGGGAGATTACAGTCAGTAGGACAGGGAATAAAACTAAACAAACTCCACAAATACTGATATCCAGTAGCGCATAGGTAACAATGTTTATTACAAGCTTTATATTAAGTGTCTAGTTCTGCAAGAAAATGAAAATGTTGCCACAGTCTCAGCCTAATTATGCCACAACGTCAAGCCTTGTTACTCCTAAATAATAGAGAGGAAGGGCACTCTCAGGATCTAGACGCCAAAAGTAAAGAAGCGCACCAGCATAGTGTAGCAAATTAGACTTCAATATAAGTTTATGAATAAAATAAAATGCGCAGTGTGTAGCTTGTGTGAAAGTCCAAAACACTCAGGAGGGAGAAAAGTATCCTAACCTTTCGTACAAAAGATCTTTGGTTCGACTTTCTATTAGTTAATGGGGTCAAATAGATCATCGATTTCAACCATAGTGACGAAAAAAGTCGAAATAGCAAGATGGAAAATTTCTCTCAAATGAACAACATTCTAGCAGTGAATGTGGTTTTAGTTCAGGAAACTCCGTTCATTCCAAAATTGAATGTTAAAATAAAATAAAATTTTCGTTCGACATTCCTCAAGTCTCTGATGGCGGTAAAGAAAGATCTTTCGTTCGGAAATCTACTAGTGTATGGCCAGTTTAAGCCACTGGGGTGAGATCGAAGATGCTGGAACCGAAGAGCGTGCTTGTGTGGACAAACAGTTTCTGCCTCTCTCCAATCCCAGCCACTTCCATTTCCTCCAATGTTAAGAGTCTCATGATGCTGCTGTAACCAAGAACCTGCTTTGGCAATATCTCTTCCCCTTCACCATGAGGCTGAAGCTGGACCAAAGGGAAGCACACCAAATTGATAAAGGTCTCCTACTGCAAAGTGAAGAAAACGCTGATGAGCTGCAAAAACAGCAACATGTAGATATGCAACCCTTATGTCGATGGATACCAAGTAATCTTTCTGTTGGAGAGAGGCGGTAATTGATAACAATTCCAGATGAAATCCATTTGATTTACAGCAAACGCATTGAGTACTTTAAAATCCACAATCAGACAAAAGGCCTCCACTGGGTTTGGGAACCATGAACAGGTTTGAAAAAAAAACTAGGGATGCACCGATACTAGTATCGGTGCCGAGTATTTGGCCAAGTACTCTTACTCACCCAAATGCTCCGATGCCTAGTCCAATACTTGAGCTTCCGGTATAAGGAAGCCGGGCAGCGAGTCATTACACGCTGCCCGGCTTCCTGATAATTTGCCAGAAAGCCGTCTCCATGCTTTCTCGCCACCTGGTGACGAGGATGCATGGAGACGGCTTCCCTGCTAATCGGGAAGCCGGGTGGCGAGTCTTTACACGCCGACCGGCTTCCCGGCTAATCAGGAAGCAACGTGGCGAGTCATTACACGCCGCCCGGCTTCCTTAATGAGACTTCTGGTATCGGTGAGTACTGAAAATAAAATATTGGTACACGTACTCAACACCGGTATCGGTGCATCCCCAAAAACTTGAAAATGTTCTGCCAAAGGAACGGAAGAAATAAGGTCCTGATCCATTAGACCTTGAACTGCACACAAAAAAAAAAGTTTTGCACAATGCTGCTGCGATATGGAAAGCCGGGATGTAAAGAGCCGAGGAGGATCAATATGAAAACATGAGTTGATTACCTGATAACTCTGTTTCCAGGAATCTTCCAGGACAGCCCATGAGAGAAGGCTCCGCCTGCCTGCAACAGGAAACACATCAACCACATTAAATAAAAAGACTCCTCCTTCCATTCCAATTCAGTACCCTCTAGGACCGAAGGCTACCAAATGTACTAAAGTATCCCCTCTGTCATCCAACCACGGATGTCCCCTGGATACCAACCAAGGGCGGGAATCTGCTGTCCTGGAAGATTCCTGGAAACAGAGTTATCAGGTAATCAACTCATGTTTTCCCCAGTCATCTTCCAGGACAGCCCATGAGAGGATCAGTGAGGACAAATCTTACCTCCTAGGGTGGGACCACAGCTTGCAGGACCTTCCTGCCAAATGCCTGGTCTTGTTGAGTCATAAGGTCCAGCCTGTAGTGCCTGACGAATGTCTGGAAACTGGACCAGGTGGCTGCTCTGCAGATCTGGTCTGGAGTAGCCCCTGCTCACTCTGCCCATGAAGTAGCCCATGCTCTAGTTGAGTGTGCTGTGAGCGGACCCGGTAATACCAAGCCCTGAGCTTTGTAATTCTCAGTGATAGCCATCTTAATCCACCTAGCTATCGTGCTCTTTGTGGCCCTGTTCCCTCTAGTGGGACCCCCAAACACTACAAAGAGGCGGGTCGACCGTTTCCAAGGTTTCGTGACCCGAAGGTACTCCAAGACGCACCGTCGTACGTCAATACCCTGCCATGCTTGTTCTCGAGCAGACGAAGGGTTAGTCGCGAACGAGGGAATGACCACTTCCTGAGTCCTGTGGAACGTGGACACCACCTTGGGCAAGAAAGCCGGATCCGGCCTCAACACAATTTTATCTACGAGGATGGTGCAGTACGGATCCGCAATAGAGAAAGCTTGGATTTCGCTCACCCTTCTAGCGGAAACTAATGCCACTAAAAGTGCCGTCTTTGTCAGATGCTGTATTGAACATTCTCCCAGGGGTTCAAACGGTTGCTTGAGGAACCCTTGTAACACCACCGAGAGATCCCAATTTGGAACGACCTTCCCCTTTGGGGGTCTCAACCTGACTACCGCTGGCATAAACCACTTTATGAGAGGGTCTTCCGCCAGTCTAACGTCCACAAAATTAGACAGTGCCGACACCTGTACTATCAGTGTACCGTATATACTCGAGTGTAAGCCGACCCGAATATAAGCCGAGGTACCTAATTTTACCACAAAAAATTGGGAAAAAATATTGATCGAGTATAAGCAGAGGGGGGCATTTTTCAGCACAAAAAATGTCCAGCCCCCCTGTAGAAAATCCAAAACCAGCGGCACCGTATCGGCCGCTGGTCTACCTTTGCTGTCATACCAGCTGAAAAAAACTCTCCACAATTTTAGGTAAATCGCTGACGTTACTGGTTTCCTACTGTGCATCAGTGTGGACACTACCTTAGCTGACAACCCCTTGTGCATCAGCACCTCGCTCTCAGAAGCCAAGCAGCTAAATTTAGAGCCTGGACTTGCGGGTGTCTTACCGTGCCCTGCACTAGCAGGTCTGCCGTCGGTGGAAGAAGCAGTGGCTCCTCCACGCACAGCTCTAGGAGTGTCGTGAACCGCGGCCTCTTCCGCCAATATGGTGCTATGAGAATTAGCGTCATGCGTTCCTCCCTGAGTTTCCGAAGAACATTCGGAATCAACTGCAACGGAGGAAATGCGTAACCCAACCGGAACCCCCAAGGGTGCGCCAAAGCGTCCACCCCCAGCGCCCCGTCGTACCTTGAGAGGGAAAATAATTTTTCTACCTGCCTGTTGTTGGCTGCAGCGAAGCGGTCCACCTCCGGACAGCCCCAGAAGCTGGTGATCCAGGCAAACGTGCTCTTGTTCAGAGCCCACTCTGACCTGTGCAGTTCCGTTCGGCTGAGCAAGTCCGCCAACTCGTTCAGGCTGCCTTTGATATGCCTCGCCGTCAGGGAAAGGAGATTGCGTTCTGCCCATGACAGAATTTCTGTCGCCAATGCCATCATGCCCTGCGACCTCGTGCCCCCCTGCTTGTTTATATAAGCTACCGATGCGGCATTGTCCGAGGCCACGGCTACATGGTGGCCTGCTAAAGTATCCCGAAAGTGGTAGAGAGCTAACCCTACCGCCTTCAGCTCTCTCCAGTTTGACGACCTGAGCCTGCCCGTATGGTCCCAGGCATCCTGCCAAATATGCTCCAGGCAGTGGGCTCCCCATCCCCAGGCACTGGCATCTGTCGTGACAACCAACGGTGCTGGCTGGCACCACAGCCTGCCTAGTGAGAGGTTCCGACAGTCCATCCACCACAGCAGTGATTGTTTGATCTCCTCCGTGATGTGGACGACTTTGTCTAGGTCTTCCTGCCGACCCCCCCAGATGCTCAACAGCCAATTCTGCAGTGATCTTGAGTGGAATTGCGCCCAGGTAACCGCTGGGATGGCGATGTCATCAGGCCCACCAGTCGCATGACTGATCTGATCGATACTTCGCACCGCAATTTCAGCCTTAGTGTCTCCTCTATCAGCAAAGACACTTTTTCCCCCGGTAATGCAACGGTCATATCCTGGGTATTGATCCAATAACCCAAAAACCTGACCGTCTGTGCTGGAACCAGTTGTGACTTTTCTCTGTTCAACAACCAGCCCAGACTCTCCAAGTGTAGGATCGCTAGCTCCAGTTTTTGTTGGCGCACAACCTCTGTCGGGGCAAAAAACAAAAGGTCGTCTAAATAGGGAATGACCCCCACTCCCTGTGACCTTAGGGGGGCCAAAGTCTCTGCTAACACTTTGGTGAAGATGCGAGGCGAGGAGGAAAGGCCGAACGGCAGGGCCCTGTATTGGAAATGCAGGACCCCCGTTGGTCCCCAGACAGCAAACCTCAGTAGGTATTGGGACGACTGTCTTACTGTAATGTGAAAGTAAGCGTCTCTTAGGTCGATAGTTGCCAAAAACGATCCCGGGGGCAGCAATTCGCGTATGGAAAAGATAGATTCCATACGGAATCTT